GAAGACATCCCCCTCGGCCCTAGATTCCGTTTCTGAGGAAGGGAATAGGGATACGGATTTGGATGCCTCAGTGGATTCAGATCCTTGATTACGCAGATTCGTATGCCTATTTTGTTGATTACGATGCAGAGGGATTGACGCACTTCTTCTATTCAAGATTCTTTATCTTTATCTGGAACTGGTTCACAAATCATTTCCTTTTATGCGGTTCGGGAGGGCTCGGTTCCCTGGGATTGGCTATTCCTGGAAAAAGTTAAGTCAATCAGAAACCTCGGAGTTGCAAGCAGTATAAGAAGGGATTGCTGGTTCGGGCGTGATGGCTCTCGGCTTTCGTGACATTTCTTTATGGCACTGGTACTTGTATCCAGCACTTATTCTCCTTATCCCGCAGCACCTTCTGTTGTGTAACTTTTCTTTATGGTATCATGGATTTTTTTTTATAGTAGTGATTGATTGACTGAGCCAAGACTGTATCTCTTAGTCGATTTCCCGAGAGCGAGGGCCCCCGAACACTTGCGTGACTCGTATATCTAGTATTTTTTTTCTTTTCGTTAAGCTAGGCAACAGGTAACATTCCTTTACCAAAACGGGTGATTGACGGCTGGAGAATTCTATTGAGTTATAGATCTTAAGGGGCTAGAGGACTCCTTTTAAACCGGGTTCTTTCACTCGGTTTCAGAGTTCGGAATCGTAGAAGGAGGAGAAGAAGTCTACCCTTGCCTTGTGATGTCAGGGGGAAAAAAAGAGAGTCTCCTGTTGAGGTTCACATCGGTACAAAAGAACTGAATACATTGCCAATACCGCGGGGCGAAGCGGACAGCATAGAATCGTCTGCTTACATCAAATCGTCTGTTTGATTTGATGCCGAGGGTGGTCGTAGATCAGAAGATTTTTCTTTAACTCGGGAAGCAGCACAAGCGAACTTCAAATAGCGTATATAAGAGAAAGAGTGGCTCGTGCATCATCTTTCTCGATGCTTTGAATAGCGTAGTAAAGATAGTATAGAAAGAGAAAGAGATTCGATTCGTCTTGTAAGAGCAGGTTGAAGCTACTTATTTATATATAGTAGCTAAGCGCTAAATCATTTGAGAAAGCCGATCTAATATGTATGTCAATAGTTCCTAAATCAATTGGAAAGTAGCCCAAGGCTCGTAGAGTCGTAGATTGTCGGGTTTGGCTAGCCTCAGTATAAACTAGAGTTGTTAGTTTGGTTAGGAAAACCTATGCCCTAGAAGTTGGATTTGGAACTACTATACTACAAGCTCTGCTCCTGACCTACCAAGCGCTAAGCGTACCTACATTAATATACATAGCTCCAGATGGTTTCTAGTGCTTTTGCAACTTAATTAGAAAGGCATTTCGCAGTTGGTTTAAAGACGGAAAGGAAGAAAAAGGCTCAATGCGCGCCGCTTCAACGGAATCCTTACCCGACCAACTGTTCATTCTGTCTTTACCTCAGGGAGTTTCGAGCTCTGTCCCTATCTGAAGCACAGGTAGCTTGCTTACTTCCATCGGTTGATACTTAAAAAGATAAATAGGTTCCTAGACCGCCGAAGCGAGACGAAGCATCGGTCCTAGATAAGATGCAGTAGAGAACAGCACTGCAAAGAAGCGCGCAAGCCTTTTATTGATTCGCCGGCATAGCTTTTTAACGATTCGAGATTCCACCGGGGATGATAACACAACAGATTGATTTCGCGACGGATAAGGGAATGGTTTCTCTGAGGGCTTCGTGCGCCATGCCCGTCCGAACTGATCGGTGATGGTAACAAGACCCCCAGGAGCGATGGTAATGGTCCATGGTTCCGTAAATTCCACTCGATCCTTCCCAAGATGATCAATAATGAGGGTTTCGACCCCGAATAGATACATCTACGCCCAGCCTCGGGAAAGCCCTTCTTAGGCCTTATTCAACGCTTGAATGCGCAAGACCGAAAAGCAAGGCGGGGCAGATAACCTTCTAACTGAGGCCCGGAGATATTAGATTTATCGGATTTCGAGCCAGCTCCCAATCATGCCTTCCCAGATAAAGATTCATTCCGTGTTGTTCTGGTCCGGAAGAAGCTTGGATCAGCAGAACGGGCATCTGTCCGCCGGATCGATAGCAGTGTGAGGGTGGTCGTAGATCAGAGCTCAGAAGATGATCGCCCGGAAAGTGTCTTTCGTCGAATTCACCTCTCCCACGCCCAATCTTTACATTAGTGGACGGACACCGCCGCAGGAACGAATCTTTCAATTGACAAGATAAAGAAACCGATTGAAGCAAGCATTTGTAGTACCCCTTCCTTCGTTGTGGATCCCCCTCCCTTTCTTATTTAGAATATCTCTTTGGCTACCAACTCAAAGAGTAAAGCGGTGGTAAGATATGGAGGTTTTTATCCCTCTTAGAGCTTTGAACTGACCTCATTTAGGGTTTTTTCTTATATATAGCTGGTGCGCTTGTTTGCGTCCAATCCGGAGGTGATGACCGCCGGAAGGAAGGAGCTAGAAGCGAAAAAAAGTATACACTGGAGGTTTGGAACCCAGAGAAAAATCCGATATAACATCTGGATCTTGAAAAGCTCCGGATATTCAGTTGTTCAATCTGCGGGTGCTTTGAAAAGCTTTATTCCCGTGTAGACATGATTTGACGAAAGGATCGATATTCGGAATAAACAGAATCCACAGAGTCGACTGATGCATCTATACTATTGAGTTGAGAGAAAGAGAAGATGGGACTAGTTTGCTACTCCCGCGGGCCCTACTTACGTAAAGCTTATCTCCTCCAGGAGGCAAGGGATTGCTGCTTCCACAGCTGTCTCCACTCGGTCAAATGCGTCCTGCCTTGAACGAAGATGAACAGAGACTCCTTGGGACGTCAAGTTCGGATCTTGGCCTTTCCTATCTGCCAACAAACTCCTTGCGCGGGTGGAAACCACTCGTTGTGCGGCTCTAGGCATCCTGAGCTGACAGCACTTCGAAAGGCCTCGCTTAATTAATAGGCTGATCATCAAAGCGTACTTACTTATGTTAAGGTTCTTGTTATTAGTTGGATAGGTATGGCTTATTATGAGAGGATAACTTTATGCATTTGTCATAAGTAGCACGCGCCCTATACAAAGATTAGGTACGCCAGACAGACATCGTCAGCCTAGCCCTGATGCATTGGTTTTATCAAGCTGTCTCATTCATTCATTCAGCAGCCTTGACCTCATTCGTGGCTTGATTCTCGCTGTTTTTGGACAGGAAGGGAAAGTCCCAGCTGACATCCTGAGCTCTACAACTACCAGTGTGGCCTTTTCAGGTTCTGGATACTCGCATTCTGTTGAGCGAGATTGTGATTGTCTTCCCTCATCTAACTCCTTAGAGTCGAATGGTCTCGAAATAGGCTTCAAGAAGAAGCGAAATTAGAAAGGTATATATAAATATATCTTACTGGTAAGCTCCGTCATTGGCTTTCACTGGGCCTTTCCTTTGTTATATGCCAACTGATGTCGCATTGCCAACAACCCTTGCTTTGCCCCCTTTTTTTCGTAAGGCTTATGACCTTTGTGACTTTCATCGGTACATATAGTCTATTGGGCTATGCATTCTGTAGAGTATTGGCGTTGTGCGACACTAGTCCTGTCGTCCGCCTAATTAGTGGGGAGACATTGATGTACGCGGTCAGCGGGGTAAAAGATCACCAGAGATACCTTCAAAAGTAAGTGACCAACCGGGAAGTCGCTGCCGTTTCTAGCTTTGCGGCTAACGAATGTGGGAATGAGTTCGCCCCTATGGGGGAGACTCCCATCCATCGGGTCTCCAAGCAATGATCACTCAACTTTATCAACTCTACTCGGCATTCGATCATTACTCCCGATCATTTGGAACAGAGCTTTTTTCTTCCTTTCGTGTTATCTGGCTAGCTGTCCCTCACTCTGGCGCTTGGTCTATTAGTTGACCTTTTCAGCCGCTGACTTGCCCTCCTATAGCTTACGCTCATACGTTGTTCCGTGTTATACTGCGCTTAGTTACCGTTAGTCCTCGGAAATTCTCGCTTTCTCGGGGCTCTTGCTACTTGCCTTCTAGTGTACCTCCGAAGCCATACTGGGTCTAGCTGACGACCTTCTATCTAAAGCGTGTCTGTCGTCGTGGCCTTCGGATGGTATCTTTGCTGGCTAGTCTGATCTCATGTCTACCCAGTGCCTAAGCCTATTCCCCAGGTCACCGACATTGCATGTGGAATCTCCGCTTCAAAAAGAGGAGTCCCGCCTTAAACTAAGAAGTGTTGACACTCGGGTGGACCCTGAGATCGAGTTTTTTTTCTTTTTCTTTTTTTTTTGTTGACTTCTGACTTCTAACCTCCTAACCCGATTGGAAGCGAGCCGGCGGTCGGCTCTATGTATCGTGAGCAGATGGAACTTTGATGGTTTCGCTTTAAAGATTGGGTAAATACTGTAGTTATGAGAAGGGTTAAGCCCCGGAAGTTGAGAATGAGATTGCGTTTACACAGGGACTGTGATCGAATCCTCATACAATAGTCGTTTAACTTACTAACCTTAATCAAGCGGCATAGCATCCGAGCATTCATTAGATTACCTATCTTTTATGCCACCTGGACTGCCTCCCTCAGTTGTTGGTATACTAACAGTTCTCCCAGCAGTTAGCTTGCCATACTTACTGTTGCCGCCCGTTGGCTTGCGATTATACTTTCCGGGATAACAGGCGCTTAGTTACCTAGAAGTATTAGTCTGCTTTATCGAGCTCTGAAACCTGCCTTAGTGTATTCCTTCGCCGCCCCTCTTCGAGCCTCTTTAGCAAGCCCCTCTTCGAGCCTCTTTAGCAAGCCCCTCTTCGAGCCTCTTTAGCAAGCCCCTCTTCGAGCCTCTTTAGCAAGCCCCTCTTCGAGCCTCTTTAGCAAGCCCCTCTTCGAGCCTCTTTAGCAAGCCCCTCTTCGAAAGATTCTTTCGGCTTTCTCTCTTTGGCCCGGTATTGCTTGTTGGCCTGTGAAGGAAGCCCCGGTTGGCTAGTCTGACTATTCATTGCCGTCCGTTGGCCCGCTTATGTACTTTAAGCGAAATCTCGTATTTAGTCAACGTCACTACGTCGTTGTTGTTCCCGTCCGCTTTCCTGAGTCTGGTCTTCAAAGTCTTGTGTTCATTCTCAGCCCTTCAGTCAGGAATTAGCGTTCGACCTTCTCTCCCCTCTTATAGGTATGGCGCATACAAACGATCCCATCTTTACCTTCTCTTGGGAGTGACTACCCCGACTGACTCATAGCTACCGGTGCTAAAAGAAGGCCTCCCCGGTATCATGCGACAGACAAAGGGATCCGCTACTCCTTTATCACTTGCTTAGCCGGAAAGCGGAGACCCCCGCGGCTAGATTCGACATAAACTTCTTATCGGGCCGAACAATGAAAAAAGGTTCGTTCCACCTATATGCAAAATGAATAAAACCTATTTTCACGCAATGATGTTTTTTTAAAAAGTTTCATCCACCACTGGGCGAAAGTCATCAACCCTGTTTTCTTTCCTAGACGACATGACAAAATGAAAACTTTCAAGCCTGGTCAAAATGGATCAATTTCTCTTGCTCGTTACGAGTGGAAAAGTTGTTTCATCTAAAAAACCGGGGGAAACGTCAACATGATGAAAAAGATCACTGGTTTATTAAAGGCATTGCGGTTAGTAAGTTTCGTAGTAGGGCGAACGTGAGGATTTGGATTTATCCAATGCGATTGTTCATAAGAAGCATACAACTTGAGATTCTGAGAAAGGAGATTTCCCTCTCCACAAAGTAGAAACCCCGACTGATATTTATTTTTACGAATCTAGTTAAATCGTATGAAAGACAGCTTCTCCCCTTTCTTATTCTATTTTGTTCAGGTAGTTGAATGGAAGTAGGTTCTTCCGGGGCGGGAAGTAGCGTATATGTTCATCAGCAGGAGTTGGCTTTCAGTCCATTCCCTACCTATACTATAGGGCGAGAAGCTAAAACTACTTGAAAAGAAAAGCTTATTCTATATAAAGGTATGAGATCTACCTGTTCCTTTCACTGCTGACGCATCATTCAGCCATAACGAGATCGAAAGCGCGGTGAGACAATCTATCTATAGTAAAGAGCGGATGGCCCACTCAATCAAATCAATAAACAAAGGAAAACATTCTATTCCATACCTATATAACGGCGAAGAGAGGAGGTATTACGTCTAGTAAACAAGGGGGGGGAAAGAAAAAAGTCTGGTTCATACATAACATATCGAATCATAAACAAAGGGAAAGATCGCAACTATCCGCATCTACAGCTCGAGATCCGTCCTATTGGATCGGTTACCGGTTCACTTAATCACTTAAATAGATATAGCAGTAAATTCCATTCCGACTGGTAAGCCCGAGGGGGGATTGTCTCAAAAGAAGTTAAAGCGGGTAGAAGCTCTACCTAATCAAAAGAACAAAAAGGGCAGTGGTCGAGATATGCTTCCCCGTATCCAAGAGGGGTGGGCTGCCCGATCTCCCTATTCAAGAGAGGTGGGCGAACTGCCTATATAGCTGTCATTGGTTCCCCACTCCAAGGAAGGAGCCTTGAAAGGTTGAGAGTCAACCCGAAGGCAAATACAGACACAGATCTCTCAATAGATCAAGGGATTGGTTTTTTCAAAAACTTAATAACCGATGCTTTCCGTACAATGTTTCTTCCAGTTAGGGCTTAGCGTCCATTCCGACTTTCAGGAGTTGAAGAAGGGATTGCGGATGAATGAATTTGACTCTTTTATATGTTATAAATCACGTGTTTGCCATTTTCCCACACTTGACATAAATAGACCAAGGCGCTTCATCTTTTCTACTTGATTATCTTTTGGGTTAATATCGCAATAATGGGACTTGTTGTTACTGCCTTCAAGAGACAGACTTAAACCCCCCTTTACCATTTCAAAGAGGGTGGATGCCGATGCCAAGAGAGAGATTCCGTAGGGGAGAGATTCGATTACAATTTTTTTTTTTTTTACTAGCATTTTTTTCCGTTCGCCCTACTACGAAAGTTACTAACCGAAATTTCTTACTTGGCAGCTTCTATGAGTTGAAGAAAAAGACGCCTGCATTTGACTCTTCAGCCAAAGTTGGATTAACCTGTGATAGATAGATTCGGCTGCAAATTCAGCTGCCTAAAATGACTTGTTGGCTTTCTACCGGTGAAGGCCTATACCCCAGTAGCTTAGTGGCAGGGATCAGAGCTTGTCGCCCTCTCTCTTAGAGTCGCGCACGTAAACCACCTACTCCTGTGGTCGAGCAGGTAAATACCATGCCAAGGTTTCTCGATCTGCTGTCGAATAGAAGGCAAGGCGAATCTCCCCCAAACCTTGAAGCGAACCAACATGGGCAGTTCGATAGGAGATACGGCCCAAATCTTTGGAGCTCTTTAGGAACCTAAGCCATAATCATAATCCCAAAATTCTACTTTTAAACAAATTTTGTCATCTTTAACAAGAGAAGAAAGTCAAGGGGTTGCAGCGCCAGGATGCTCTTAACAAACTTGACGTTACGGCCTTTACTTGCCTTACTTTACTGGCTTTACTGGTCTTGGCCGCTGCTTGTTCCGATCACAACATCAAGAGGACAGACTTGAACGCGTCAACTACGGGATCATATGACTTTATCGGGAGCAAGAACTAGACTTCGACGGGTGACACCAATAGCTGCTGGCCTGATACACCTACTAATCTGATAGAGCCCTCAAACTTTACCTTTCTACGGAATTACTCTTTCTCACTGACACTTGGGAGTGAAGTTGAATCACTAACTTCATGTGCCAATTCATGCCCATTTTATGGTGTTTCCTCTACTTAGTCTCCTACTGTTGTCGTCTAGGAAGGGCGGCTAAAAACACGGGAAAACGACCCTTTCTTCTGGCATCTCAAGTAAAGTAGACTGATCCCGATGCAACAGGGTTAGCTAAGGTTCAAGTTTCATATCAATGCCAACGGCATGTTATGTTTAACGACACCTCGAGATATAATATGACCTTGAGGCACCCCAGAAAATTACTTTCTCTAAGCAGAACTTTTGAGGGTTTCCCCGAGAAGCCAAGAATCCATACGTTTCTGAGTCAACCTGACCGCCCATGCCAACCAAGAATGGAGGGGATGGCTGTTCCTCCGGTAAAAGATATAGTTTTAGCCTCTTTCACCAGAACAGAAGAAGGAGATCTCGACTATTCTTATCTAGTCAACGTTGGGATCTTGCCGTTTCTTCTTTCTTGCGAGCTACTTGTTATTCATTTGGCAGACCGTGGTGGGGAACCCAGGGAAGAGTCCACTTGCTTGAACATCAAAAAGAGGCATTTATTTGGAGCAGAAAGCCAGGAAGGTAAAGGCCGTCCATCGGAAGCTAAGATGGTTCGGCCAAAAGAACATGTGTTAGAACATCTCGAAACGGAACCCAGAGTCTTTATCTACATCTCCGCGGGCCTCAGAAACATGAGACTTTATGCGAATCCTACCGGGTTTTGCACCTTTATCATAGTGTTTTTGAGGACGTCTTAGTAAGCAAGGTTGGATCAACTCAACGACACCTTCCGACAGATTCTTATTAGTGAAGATGACAAAAGAATGACTTTTTACACTGGAGCGGATAAGAAGATTTCATCGAGGTTGGATTGAGGGGAATGTCTAATGTCATATGAAACAAGTCACTCCAGAACAACAGAATGGAATAATCGGATTAATCGGAACTTTGTTCCTCGGAGCTGCTCCGCTGCGAATCACACCTCGAAACTAACTAGATTCTTATCTCGGATTCATCGACAGGAAAACACAAGAGCTCAGTGCCTTTCCTCCCAGAAATCTCCATTTTAATGGTTCCTCAACCTTTTCAGTGATTTCCATAGGTTCGGTAAAGGAGGGGGGGTACCCCTTTCCGATCGACTGTTCAATCACTTTGGGGTTTAAGGTTTATGTCGATATCTAATGTGGCATGATGTCTTTCGTCGTCGAGTTCAGTCCGTTGGGTCGGTTGAGTTGCAAGGTTCGCTCCCTCGGTCAGTGGTAGGTCGGGAAGCTTTTCTTTATCAGCCGTAGTTCAGGTGCGTCATAGATTTAAATGAGGATGTCCTTTGCCGCTTCTACTTCGATCTGCCGCGTGAGCAGTTATTCCTATTAATAGTTCTGCTACTAAGATAGTTCCTTCAAAGCCCCTACCTCTGTCCGCTCGGCGGGCTGCGTAAAGAAGGAGGATGGCGGAAGGAGGCCGTGTCTCTTTGTAATGTCACTTGAACAACCATGGAGGCGGCGTAAAGCTTTTTTAATTATCATTACGGCCCGGTTAAGCTACTAAAGGACATTTTGAGTGCCCGTTGACTGCTTCCGCCGAAGCTGTCCGCTAACTCATTTGGTCGATAACTCCCGCTAGGCAAGGGTCATTCGAGTTAGGTTAGTCCCTTTTCGTTTTAAAGCGTGGAGTGCCTTAGGGGATCAAGAAGCACCGTAGCTGTTATTGCTGAGTTAGATCTACAGTGTCTTAGAGAAGAAGAAAGAAAGAAAGAAAGCAAGGAAAGGACCGTTTCCCCCCTCGGGGGGAGATCTAACTCTAAAAGTCTTACTTGAGTCGTATTTGTGCCCTTTATGAAGTATCGTTCGACTCCTGTAGAGGGAGTCTCACTCTCTTTCAGCATTCCTTCATGGATGTTTAAGTTTACCTGTTGCTTAAGGAATCCCGTACAAACAAGATAAGGAAACAACAAATACTAATAAAATACCACCCCTTTATTACGTTCGGCTCCTTTCCTAGTCCTAGCGCTGGATAAATCAACTTACAATCGTGCTTGTTCCTTTACAGTAGACCGCGTCGCCCCTTTTAATTACATCTATGTCAATCGAAACCTTCAAAGGAAGCGGAGGAGCAACAGCCATAGTGAGCGACTGACCGCAAGAGAGACAAGAGTCAGAGTTAGATATGTAGTCGCTTGGTTGCTCCTGATGGTCTCATTCAAGGGAGTGCTATGGGAGATTATTCACTGCTTTTTGCTTGTAGTCTTCAGGCAGGTCAGGAAGGCAAGCAGAACCGACAAGCACGGAGCCCAAGGCAAGACAGAAGCGTTACTAACCAACTGGAGTGGAGCTACTAGTCGTCTTGTCTTCAAGCAGAAGGCCAGGCAACTAGATAACTAGAGCTAGAAAGAGGAAGCCAAAGGCGAAAGGCTGCTCAAGCAAGGCAAGCGCAAGCACCCCTCCCGGCAAGATCAATAAATAAGAAGCTTCGGCTTAGGGCGACCAGCTCGATTCGCTCAAAATTCCCTTGGGAAAGGTGACCCGTATCTTCAGGTCGCTCCAGGCTCTACCGGAACCGAGCGTACCTTGGGACACGCGCTACAAAAGGCTTAGGAAGCGGGCCTGTCTGATGAAGGGACTTCGTAAACTATCTAACTTTGAAGCTATTACACCCAAAAGGGTGAAACCACAGAAGCAGGTAACCCTGACTTCAAGACACATGGTGAAGAGCACCGGTCAAGCTCACACACAAGAGGGAAGGAACGAAAGATTGATTGATCTGCTGCTAGTGCTTGTTGTTAAAGTTAAAGCAGCTTTCTGTTTTCTCTTAATGTTACAAGGTTGATCTAAAAATCGTAAGTATAGTTACGGTTGTTTCCCCTATGAGTTGAGCTAGAAGCAGTTAACAAGATTCTCAAGTTACTGTTTTTAATTCAGGGTAAATGTTCAGTGGCTATCTTCTCGACTGTCTGCTTTACGGAACGAACTCAAGTGTGATTGAAGTAGCGAGGTTCTGAAAGAAAGGGGCTCCTCCCCACAAAAGCTCTGCTGAGCTGGGCACAGAAAGACTTTCTGTCTACTCTAAACTTCAAGATCATGAGAGGGAGTGAAACTTGCTCGACCATAGGGAGAGGGAGTTCCGTTCTCATTCATTCGACTAGACTGAGCGAGAGATTGAGTGTGAACAGCTTCCTATCAGACTACTAGTTCAGTCTATAATCCTCGTTACTAGGCTCGGGCCCAGGTTCTCTGAGTAGACGGGTAGGGGCTTTTAAATGCCTTGTAGTAGGTAGGGTGCCCCAAACCAGCTTAGGTTTGGTAATCTGCTTGCGCTTGCTTTAGAGCGGGAGTTGTCGCCTTCTTCTAAGTCAGAAAGGTCATTCAATGTTCATAGAATAAAAAGGCGGATCCTGTTCTGATCGCCCTTTCTGATCTTATTTGTATTCTGATTGAGGGTTTCATCTCTAGGAAAATTCCTCGCACATAATTAAGGGAGCCATTGAAAGGTGACTAAAACACCAGAAACGGGGACTACCCGAGCTAATGATAGAGGCAAGAACACTTTCCGGCCAAGTCCCATTAATAGATCATAACGATATCGTGGAAATGCTGCACGGACCCATATATAAAGGGCGCGGTGAAAAAAGAAAATCCTATGGATTACTCGGGGTGGTTAAGTTTCCACTCGTTTAGGAATCTTTCCCGCACCTTTTTCAACGGGGAAATTCTCCAGGGCTTATCGCAAAAGACTAAGTTGTTTCTCATTGCCTGAAGTTCTTCTAGGTAGAACTCATTATCTCGGAAATGAGAAATGAAAATAGTTTTCCTAACGGACTCGGATTGTATCCAATTTTCCTTTGGAAACCGAGCCTTAAAGAGTTCTATTATTTGGACCTTGAGCCGGAAATGCTCCCAAGCCCGCAACCAGAGGTCTTGCTGCTGTTCTAATGATAAATTCTGTAGGTTCGCAGGCAGGCCCATGCTAATCAGCTCCTTTTTCGAGAACCTACTCCCGATATCCTCAATCTCCCCCGGCTCCGGTTGAGCAGGTAGGTTTAGATCAAAAAGTCTCGCTCTATCCCGACGGCGGGCTCCGCCCCCCCTTGAGGCAGATTTAGGTCGAACCCCGCGGGTTCCGGCTGGAAGGGTTGTGGTTGTTGAACAACGGGAGAGGGGCACTTGTTCCTAATCATGTTCTGAATCTTCCGGGTTTTCGGTTGTAATGGGAAAGTCCTTTCTTGGGCCTTGGAATATTGTAAGTAGAGTAAGAGGTCCCCCAGGTCTAATACAGAAAAGCACCCTTCTAAGGAAACAAGGTTTAAAGCCTTTCCAAAAGGAAGATAGCGGAAGGCGTTGGTAATGAGACCAATGTGGAGACCTTTCCTCATGAGGAAAATAAAAAGGGGCAAGGCGAAAAGATCCCAGTAAAGAATTCAGTTAAGGCTGAGGTAAAGTCAATGTCAAGTGCAAGCTAGAGTGTAAAAGCTCTTAAAAAAGACATTTACCATAAGGCAATGGCGAGAGATGATGGGACTAATGCTGTTCCAAAGGTTGCAGCCCCTACCCCTCAGGCTAAAGCTAAGGTGACACCTAGAAAGAATCAAAAGACCTAGCCTTCGGCCCCTCTCCCGTTGGTCGAGCAAGTAAACCCCCTCTCCCTGGCAAGCAATTCCTTCGTTGTGAGTCTATTTATAGCGCGCCACACGTGCTTTGAGACGCTTTCCTGTGGCTAAGTGCTAGCGTTGACAAGAGATGAGCTAAAGAGGTGGCCGGGATAAGCAGGCACGAACTTCCGTATAGCGCCCTAGTTTTTTAGTACAAGCAGCTAAGGAGGTACGACTTGCGCCAAACTTGTGAAAGAATACTTGCTGCGCACCTGCTGAACAAGGCTCCTTTCAAGTCAAACGGAGATTACCAGTTCCGGAGGGGCCAACCATTGTACTTCTAGGGGAGGGTCTAACATAGCGGAAGGCCACGGCTTTTGTGAGTGTTCAGCACAATACGGTACGGTATGCCACCAGCATAAATGGGGCGCACAAGAGCCACTGGCACGAGAAAGATTTAATGCCAGCCTGGAAGTGATTCGCTAAGTCGGGTTTTCCAGCGGCCGCCTATTGTAGAATCGTCGATAACCTGGCTGCCACTATCATGTGTGTAAAGACTTACTGTATAGGCATACCGGAAACCATTTGGCAAGTCAAGGGACCCTGAAATCCGCTCCTTAGCTATAACGTTCCAGAGTCATGCAGAACAGACACTAACCGTCCTCCAATTACTATTAATTAATTGGACCTTCAAGGAATTATTATCGCTTAGCGCTTGTGCTAAGGAACGAGCAGAGTACAAAAACGAAAGGTTCGAGTAACCCTCCGAGCTAGGGATATAAAAAAGGCCGTAGCAAGGAGACTTTAACAGACCAGTTAAAGTAAAGCCTCCACTTTCATAGAAGAGCGTCAGTAGGACAAAACTAAAATCCCAAAACTCGCTTTCCCGGACAATGTATATTGTGAAATGGTGGCGCTATAACAAATCCAGAGTACCTTAACTTGTGGTTGCCGCACAAAGCTGGTCACCTTAATCAGTCATACCCATTTATGGAGATTCAGGATCTGAAGAGCTCAAATTAAAGCCATGAAACAAGTAGCTACTCCTACAACAATTGGGAGCTTCTTTTAAGCCAGCCCACAATAGAATAATGCCACCTCGACTCCCCTCTACCAGAGAATCCATGAATTCCGGGCACCTGCAGTAGCTGCAGGGATGGGAAAGACAAATAACCAGTCAACTAACTATATATGCCTTAAAGCCTGCCCTCCTCTCATCTTCCTTACCCTAACAAGTAAGCAAGTAAACTACCTTAGAATTAACGAGATCTAGAGTCTTGGATGAATCCTCTTGAAACGGGTCGATCAACCCTAGAAGACTCGATGGCTTAGCAGCCCAGTGAATAACCTGATTCAGAGAGATAACCCGGTCTTTAGACACTCGCCCTATTTCTAAGGATAGATAGACAAGGTTGGGGAGTACCAGATGCGGAAGCAGTTCCAGTCCCAGCTGCTGAGGTGGCGTAGTGACAGGTGGGAGCAATAACAACAGAAGCTGCGGAAGATCCCGCAGTAGTATATTCGGTTGTTTGCGGTGGAATAGATTCAAGCGTCCGGGCCAGTAGATCCAGAGCAAATAGGCGTTGACTTAGTTTCTTTTGCAGTTGATTCTAATCCCGATGTTGATCCGACGCAACTTACCGGTGATAGTCGCAGCACCAAGAGCTTTCAAGGGAGGCAGACATGTATAGAAGCCGATAGTGGCATACCTTCTGGATCGGGGGCGGTAAACACCATACAGGCAAAATACCTGCGGGGGGAGGAGGCCCTTCTCACTCAAGCTCAAGCATTTACTTTTCTAGTTAGAGACCAACGTCTTGGGGCTAACGTGGGATCCGCTCAAGGACCTACTTGGTTTAGGTAAATATCTCATGCGTTCCCCGACTGGAGAAGGTCATTTTTGGAGGATAAACTGTGCGCTTTTCAGGTCGGAAGAACGGGTTTAAAAAAAATATATATATTAGCTTGATTTTTATGCAAAAAGGACAAAACGGGATTGGATTTCCACTCATAAGGAAGGAAGGTTGGATACCTTTGACAGGGTTGTATTTTTGGTTGAAATGGGATGGTGTTCAAACTCCCGAAATGCAGTCTAGACAGCGGGCCCTTCCCTTTCCGACTGGACTGACTCGGGGAAGGGTCAATCTCCTCCGGAGCATGCTGCACAGCCACTCATTCGTCCTGACTAAATAGTAGAATCTATCTCTCAGCGATTCTTTTCTCCGCCCCCGCCCGATCGATTTTGTAAGATCGGCTAATTCAAAAGAGTTAATCTGGTCGTCGGAACGACTCGTTTGCTTTATCGAACAAAGCTTGATTAGGGTAGGGGTCTTGGTTGGCCCCCTATTTTCAACCATTACAGCTGGCGTCGACCAGCTTTGCGATACGGACGGACACGAAGAAGAACGCAGGCAGCGGAAATGCAAAAGAGAAGAGCAAAGATTCCCGACCCAGAGCATGTTATTGACTCAACCACAAATCTGTTGAATGAAGGTAGCTTGCTTACTCTCAGCCACTAGTTAGAAGGAAATCCCTTGACTTCGCTTATGCCCTTATGGCCCTTATGCAGTACAGAAAGCAAGTGAGGCGGGCTAAGATTCCCCTTCGACTTGTGAACTATATCTTACCTGCGGCTTATAGCCTCAATATCCATGTAGGTGACCTTCTACTGAGCGAAATCATTACCTTCTCTTCGCTCTTAGCTTGAAGTTCTTCTTGGCGCTACTGCCCAGCCGGGGTGAATGTACTGGATGCTGCTCGTCAAAGCAAGGAATGTCGCACGTAAGAGATCCATAGTACGCAAAGAGAGCTGTTTCGTTTCTGTTCTTCCTTCAATAGAAGAGCACGCCCTTGGCCTTTATCACCAGATCAGCCGTATTTGGAAACAGCTGAACCTCTTTGTATTGCTGAATCCATGACTTCTTTTTCCAATATCCCTTCTTCTTTCTGGTCCTCGTGAAACATGAATTTAGCTACCTTGAACCACTGTAACGGTCTCCCTTCTAATATCTGGGTTCTTTACTCGGCCATCCATCAGCTTCCAACCATTACCTTTATTACTGCTCAATCCATCACCTGTTCCTTGTTCCTGGATAATGTTAGCTGCGCTTTCATTTTTTTGTATGCTTCTAATAATTTAATTACATTATGAGGAGATCTTTATAGCGGGATCTTCAGTTTCTTCATTCTGCTATCAATGATCTTTGGATTTTTGTTGGGTATTTCAACGCGGGCCCATGAAAGGCTTGGAGGTGAGATTCCCACCAGTATTTCCTGTGCTTATTTCTCTGAAGCTATTAGCTCCTGTAATACTATAACTAACTCACTTCCTGAGACTTGTTTCTCGAGGTGCGCTCTCGCTTCTGAGAAAATTCTTATTATTAGTTCTTAAAAGTGAGTTCTACTAGGTAGGTACAAGACTCTTACCTTTCGAACTCACTTTTAAGGGATAGTTTTTTATTTGACAAGCACCGCGTACCATATTTGATTGACAGCCTTCTTACTTCGTTTCGGAATTCCCAGCAAATCCTTGACTCCTCGAATACGATGGGATTTCACACCTGGCGAATCTTTCACTCTACCTCCTCTTATTAAGACCATAGGAGTAAATGATTCATCCCAATCCGGATGTTCAGGAAGGGCATTGTCGACTAAAGAGATGGTTCTGTCAGCAGTCGGAGCGAGAGTAAGAAGCGGCAGTAGAAGGAGTAGGAGCTGTAGATGCCAAGTATAACGGCAGAGGAACAGAAGCAGTACTCGACCGTAGTTAGAGGTCTCCACATCAATTGGTTATTCCCACGGGCGTCAAAAGGAAAAAGGCTTCCAGCGTCTTGGAGAAAAACCACATAGGCTGAAAGGAGAGTTTCGTAGACGCTCGACTAGATAGGGTAAGTGAGGAGAAAGGGTATCGTTCAGAACAGCTCCGATAGGATCACAAGTAAGGGAATCAAAAACCTTGTTTTTGCCCTCATCGGTCGAAGACAAGCGTAAGCTGCCCTTCCTTTATTTCCTACTTTTCGTTTCACCTCACCTTTTTGTCCATCCATGGAAAACCGAGACAAAGCAGCTCTTTCCAGGCGACCTGACCTCGTCGTTCTCTGGTGGAACAGAATGCTGCCCGATCAGACCACCCAAGTCTTGCGCACACGACTCGTCTTAATAGTCTTTGTTTAATAACTGCGTACATAATGAGTGACTGCTGCTCAATGTTCTATATTTCATGCTATTGGCATACATATTAACATAAAGGCAGCCTCCTTAGTTAGCTCATGAATCAACATATGAACTATTGCGCTAAGTGGTCGCAAAGTAATTAGGCGGCTGATTGCCATTGCTTTTGCTTGTCGGCCCCTCCCGTTCCCTCCTAGTTCCGATTGCTTTCTGCAACTACCTAACTATCATCTACTGGCTTCCTCTATTCCCAATACCATCTTGTACTTGCTTGTATGAGTCTAAAGGAGGAATAGCTGCGGGGGAAACGAAGAAAGAAATCTCTTTCGTTTTTTCTATTAGACTAAGTTCATTAACAAAGCGTTCAAGTGGGCGTGTTTGCTTTGCTTCAGCGGGGATGGAACATTATAAACGTAATAAGATACCTTAGCTTACTCCGGAAAATGCCACCCGCCTTTTGGCTAAAGAATCTATCATTGAATTCACCAGCTCCGGCTGAATGAAGGGGGAGCAAGCTCAAGCCCTAGCTCACGGAAAGACTCCTCCCACTCACGAAGCACCGGTGCCTCTTCAAACCATCATCATAAACCCTAAAATGCATTCTCTGCGGTGGATCTCACAAGACCTACCAATGTCCTCAGAAGGCCGCCTTAAACGCATTGTTGGCTGCTCAACGTGAGTCAAGCCAAGATAACTCGGACAAGAGTGAGACCGAGGATACTCACATGGGAGCTCTCCATTTGCTTAATGCCATTCATTAAAGGCCATGCCAATAGATACAGGAACAGGGGAAGACTTGAGAGATATAATACAGTCTGTTCTATCCTAGCTTGATATAAACTTCAGGAAAAGAGAGCTAACAGCTAATTAGTTCTTATCTAGCCTAATACATTCTTACCTGCAAGAAATAGGGATAACAAAAAAATGGGAAGACTTACTACACGTGCTTAACACAGGAGAGTCGAAGAACTACCACTCGTAAGGAACATCAGAAAGGCAGGAATAAAAACCTACGCTCTTATTAGGTATAAAACGAAGAAGTTACGCTCCTACCTCTAGATAGGAGGGTGGTCTACGATCAGGCTCCTCCTGTAGGGGGCTAGCTTGAGTGAGAGTAGCGAATTCAGATTGTAGTCAATCCTAGTTCAAGGTTCAAGATTCGTCGACCAGGGGGAAGCTAGGACTCATTGAAAAGGAAGGTGTCATTGATTAAGGAAATCTGACGATGAGCAGGTCTCAGTAGATCGATTCAATTGCCAGTTCCGTGTATCCTAAGATTGACTTTCAAGCATCTCACTTCCTTCTTTCTAAAGAGTTCTAAAAGGATGAATTGCGGAGAATAGGACGCGGATCAGAGAGAGATCTCGCAAGATGGGACGGTCTTATTTTCTCTTTCATTTCCCTAAGAAGGGTATCATAAATTGCTATTATCAAAGAAGTCCTCCTTTCTGCCTTTGTTAGAGTCAAGTCTATGGGTAAGAGACCCCCACCAGCCGGGTATCTCCCTCAAACTACAAGCCGGATTAGCTTCTCGATAATGAAACCTCCGTTCTCCCTTTCTAACAAAGGATTGCTCGAAGTCCGTGCCCTTAGTCCCGACGAGTTCCGCCCGGCTGCCACTAAATAGGGGACTTTGGTCCTTTTCTTTTGCGGTATTGATCAATTGAGGTCATCGCTCGAAATAATAAAGAAAAAGGGCTTGCAGCTCCTTCTGCTCATCCTCCATTTGTGGAAGGTACCCAAGCGTGATTCATTCCTTTTACTGGTAGCTCGTCAAGGTAGTTTTCTTTGCCTGCCCTCCATTCCTTTTGAATGGGATGGCCTTGTAATCTCCTCTGGATTCCGTTTGTTGGTCATCGATAGGCAATCCCGGAAAGACAGAAAGGGATGATAAAGGCGGACGCCAGTAATTAAGCAGAAACCCGAGGGAAATCTCAATATAAAGAGTATCGGTTCACTCTTCGCCATAGCAGTGTCGCATAAAAAGCTGCTCCCCCCTTCGCTATAAGCTGAGTTCCCAAGTTGGGGAGTACTGGTCCCAGGTCTTTCCTTTCCTGTATGGCAGGAATTCCCTCCAGGTTGTCTTATCGGGGTGACTCTGCCAAGATTCCAGAATGCCCCTCGGGTTTCTAGCTATTATTAGTACGAGCTCTGCCCCGTCTGGTTTAAATATCCTATTCCTCGAGAAAGATCAGATCAAGCAGAGGGGCTTCAGCAGCTTCAGTTCGAAGGTTTCGAGAACCTCTTTTTCTTAAGGAGTAGCCCCGCCTTGATCACCGTGGACATACGCTGCTCTCGCTTTCATTCCAATACTTGCAAAAAAAAGGAAGAAATGAAGGTAAAGCGGAATCAGCGGCGGGCTTACCTTCATTATTTCTTTTTTTTCTTGTAAGCCTTGTAGCAGGTGTGGCATCCTGCTCTGCTGATCAGCATAGGCTTATAACCCGACGAAAAGGGGCCTTTCTTTAACCAAAACCCCTTTTTTCGTGTCTTTCTTACGGGAAGAGATGAGTCAAAGAATCACCAAAGAGCACGAAGACTGGGAAAGACATAGCTTTTGAATCAACGAAGCACTCTGTCGGCGGAGAAGTGTAATTTCATAAGAGAAGAAAGATGGTATCGTAAAGTAGAGTAGATTCGACGGTATGCCAGTTGCGTATAGAAAGAAGTTCTACGATTTCATGATGCAGCACGGAGTATAAAATCTCCGTTAGTTCAGTTTCTGCTTTTTCCCTTATTTCCCACTCCTTATGTCAGGCAAAACCTGACCACGCGGACTTGAAAGAAAAAGCTTCGATGCATGAGAAGAGGACCGGGCGCTTTGCTTGTATCTTCGGGATACGAATTGGCGCGGTCTTCTTTAAGAACACTACGATATAATAGCGGATATGGATCACCTGATTACGGATTTTATATCTAGGATGGGTTTGGCTTTGCCTGTAGCTATTCTTGTAGCCGTTAGAGCTGGCCAAATGCTCCATCTAATGGATAGTATGAATATAGAAACAAAGGTTACTGATGTA